GACTTCATGTTCTCCATTCTTTCCACGCCATGTTGTATGGGATTCACACGATACCGTTGAATTACTTCAATCCCTGTCTTAAAGTAAAAGGAATCAGGACCAGGACTCTAGGGGGACCAGTCACTTGAAGGCTTATTCATTAATCATCTTTGCTTATAGACAGGGTAACTATAACGGCATCTCTTGTGTTTTGTTTGTGTGCTTGTTGGATTTTCACAATATTAACTTTCAAGTGTAACATTACAGACTGACCACGGGTCTCAATAGATGATTTGGGACGTATGCTATTTTGAACACCTTCTTTTAATGAAACGTTTCCCAAATCAAAAAGCCCTGCAGAAACCAATCTTTATTTGGCTTACGTATACAGTATAGTGTCCACTGTTCTTGCGCATAGCATAAGTTGTACACATGCTGCTTATTACGACTGTGCTTATTAAGCAAAGACCCAGAGATACAGGTTTTCTTGCTTTGCCACTATTTAATGATGGACTGGAAAAGAGTGGGTTAACTCCTTGTGTTAGGCTGGGTTGTCAGAGAACCCTAACCAGCGGCACTCATCTATGTATGAGGAAGAGCTTCATGGAGGTGATTTCATATCAAGAAGCCGGGATTTCATATCCCAGCTCAGACCACCTCCAGTCCATAGGTCCACTGCTAGGTGGGGCTCTCTTCAGATTGCCGTGGCTGCAAGCCGGGGACGTGGAGAAGTGAGTGGAGATGACAGGCTGCTGGGTGCAGCGTGTGTGAATCCAGGCCAGGGGAAACCTAGCAGGGTGCCGGCAGCTCTCAGGGCGGGCCGTTCACAGGGGGCCGCTCCTGGAGACAGGCAGGGAGTCCCAACAAGCAGAAACAGAGAAGACAGACAAGCCCGTGTGTCTCTCTCATAAAGAAGGCCGCACCCCAAGGAAGCCGCATCAGGCTGCGACCTGACTGAGCAGTTGGACCCCACCCCGTACTCTTACGAAGGTGGCATGTTGACATAAAATCTAACAGCCGCACTTGTCTTCTTAAAGAAAGTGGTTGGCTAAGGCCGAGAAGCATGGGGGATTTGTCACTGAAATGGCGCTGCGTGGAGAGTGCTGTCATGTGCCTGTGGCCCTGATCTGACCAGGTCAGCAGCCTTGGCCAGTAAGTTGAAACTCTTAAGTGTAGTATCCACACCAAATTACCAAATCATAGTATCAACAGATATGTAAAACATTTCATTGATAATCATATTGACTACAAAATGACAGTGTTTTGAATACATTGGGTAAAATAAGAAAATTTTATAATTTTCCCTATCATTTTTTATATTTCAGATGGTATGTACTAAAGAATTTAAAATGACATGTGTGGCTTACATTATATTGGGCAACACAGGGCTATAAAGGACAGTACAGGTCCTAGGCCTAGTCTGCCTTGTTTAAGTGAATTCTTTCGTGCCAGTTCCTGGTGAGGGTCCTTGTGCATGTTCTTAAAGGAAACATGCAAAATTCCTCTAGTGTCCCTGTAGTATAGCCTCTGAAGCCCTAATGCTGTGGCCTCATTTCACAGTGGTAGGTAGGGTAGAATGACCCTCATGAGCCCTGCCATCACCCCTGTTAGTCAACGTTGATCTTGACCCCCAGGACCTTGGGCGGATTGCACGATCTTTCTTGGTCTCATCTGTAAAGCAGCGTTAGCTGGAGGATTAACTGGGATAAGATGTGTGAAGTTCTTGGAACAATGTTATGGCGTATTGTATGGGTCCTATAACTTTTAGCTTTTACTTAGGCCAAGTAGGGGATGAAACCAGCAGAAAATAAACCGTATCATATTTTAACCCCCACTTTATTATTTTGTGTGTGAGAGTTTATGTAGTACATGGGAATAAGGAGGAAAGGGGAAAAAATCTAGATGCAACCATACCCCAACATTACCAATAATGCTTATCTGAGAAGCACGGATGTGAATTTGGGGTACAGTTGATTTTTGTTTGCTGATTTTCTGTGTGCACTACTATTAACAGAACAAAACATACCGGTGGTATCTACTAAAGGAAATAGTACAACTTGTGCATAGCTGGTTTGGAGCTCCCTTGTGCAAAGCGGTCTCACATTCACAGTAGGACCCAAAGCGATCAGAGGGGCTGTGGAGAGCCAGCACGGGTGCCCTTGCTAAAAACCCAGTGGTGAGCTGGGGTACAAAGAGGTGACTGTTCACAGCTAGGGGCCGTGAGGTCAAAGACACTTCCATTTCAAATAAACCTGAGTTGCTCTTTGAAAGTGATTACAGAAGAAATGCGGACTCCAGGGAAGGCTTTGCTGGGGTCTGTGTAACCTGCTCACGGAGGACAGGTGCAGCCACCTCCGTGGACAGCAGGTGAAGTGGCACGTGTTGGTCAGGGCAGCTTTTCTAGGAGGCAGTCTGTGCACATCCTAACGAGGGAGATGGAGGTAAATGAGAAGGAAACACTTGCCGGAGAAGGTGCTTTCTAGGTTGGATGGAGGTAAATGAGCAAGGAGCACTTATCAGAGAAAGTGCATTTGGAAGAACCTGCTTCACATAGTGAATCGTGGGGTGTTTTTTTTCTTCTTCTTTCCCTTCTTTTTTTTTATTATGCTGTTTGGGCATCAGCCATATGAGATCATAGAAATGAGAGATGGAAAAGACCTACTGTATTAGGTCATCCAGTCCGTCCCCCTCTTTCAGAGCCAGATTGATCCCCACAGTATATTTTCCAGGACTCTGTCCAGTTTTTTAAGTGACTCAACTGATGGAGTTTCCACCAGTTCCCAGAGGGTGCAAAAAGTTGTCTGAGTCTAACTTGAACCAAGAACTTATTCTTATGCTGATGGCATAGATAACAGTGATAATGCCATATTCGAGGCTAAGACCTGCCTCTATTACTAGCCGGCTGTACGCCCTTCAATAGTGGCAGCTGTGTCTCCGGCTGCAAAATGAGGGTGGAGAGCTGGGCTTGGTGGCCCGAGTCTCCTTTAGCTTAAACATTTGGAGACTTGGCTGCTAGGACCCTTACATAGTCCTTTATAGTTTTCACAGCTTGTTCACATTTGTGATCTCATTTGAGCCTCTCTGGTACTTTGGAAGAAGGCGATCTTCTTGTCCTCCTCGCCCATCCTGACCATGTCCCCTTCTTGCTTGGGTTCCTCGGTAAGCAGACAAAAGAGTGCACTGCCCAAGGCTTCCTGGTCAGAATGCAAGCAGGGCAGGCCTTCCTGTCACCTCGCTCGCTCCTGCCTGAGGTGGGCTTGCGCCGTTCCCAGCAGTAGCACTCTTTCGGATTGCCACAGGACACTGAGTCACACGCCACCTGTGAAGCACAGAGCTTCCTGACACATAGCTTCCTTTGCCTCATCTGGGAGAACCTGGGTGGTTCCTGCTTTTGAGTGTGGGGCATGGGGCTTATTAGTGGGTTCGAGGTCGGCCTGCTCCGAAATAGTCACCACATGTGTTCAATGCTGGTGTGGGTTACCGTGAGGCCGTGCACTGAGCACGTCTTCAGATGGATTGATCCACTGGACGTTAGTCAACATGGGATGAAGGGAGGGCGGTGGATGGAGGGTTCCTCATATTTGATTCTCAGATTCTGAGATTCCGTGTTCTTGACCTAGCCAATGATCTGTAACTTTCCCTAAAGAGAGTCTTAACATTTATTGCAAGTGGTTGCTCATTAAGAGTTCTTTTTAAATGTACCCCTTTTGTTGTCAGCTTGAGTATATTAAATTTTAAATCCCGGGCTTAGTAAGTGCGTAGAAGTGCGTAGTTAAGTAACTTTTAACAATGCAATTGGTCTCAGTAGCATTGTAATAAAAGGGTTGTTCTTGGTAGTTAATGAAAATACATGAAGTAAGACATGAGTCATAGAAATGAGCGGGGCAGGGCAGGGAGCTGCTGCAGAGACGGATGTGTTTCCTTAGTCCCCCCCACCTGAGTGGCCTCCCACCCTTGCAAGGTGCTGCTGTCTCTCTAGGGGTACCAGTGTGAGACCCATGTCCAACTCTGCTTCAGGACTCAATGGCTTCCATGCTCAGCCCTCATCTTTCCAGCCTGACACAACCCCACCAGCCTTGGACGCCTGTTTGGTGCTTTCTCCACTCCCACCCTTTCTGTCAGAGCGGATCCATCCTGGGTGTGGTGTGGCCTGGAACCCCCTAGTCACCTTTTCCAGGCTGGGGCTCCAGCGCTTCTCAGAAGGCCGTGTGACCTTGAGGCCCTGTGATGGGTGTGTGTGGTATGAGCTCCGCCACCACTCTGAATGGTGTTTGTTTTGTTTTGCATTTTATATTTGTGTGTAAAATGTTTGAAGCATATAGACAGGAAAGGGGCTTTTCTTTGCTCCGGACAGCTTGTTTTTCCAGCTTCAGGACTGCAGTGTGCTGCCTGGGCGCAGACGGTGATGAAAAGAATGCCTGGGTGAGACCAGGTACTCAAACCCAAGAGACGAGGCGCCAATCCAGGCTCTGCTTTTTGTGCCAGCTGTCACGCGGAGCGTGTGCAGGGAGCCACTTGTGACAGGAAATAGCAGTGCCCACCAGGGGGACATAGTCAGCCTGCTGGTGGTGGGAGAGAGGGAGACCAGGCCTCCTTTCCTCTGCTAGCCTCTTCTGAGCACAGAGAGGCACAGGTAGAGGGAAGCTGGGTCCCACAGATGAGAAGGCTGACACCGAGCCCCTTGTCAGGCGCATGGCCTCCAGGAGCAATTTACCCGCCACCACAAGTGTTCTGACTTGGGCAGACGTGCTCATTGCCCCCTGCAGCACACTGTCCTCTCCCAGGTCACCAACACAGGAGAACTTTGTTTAAACCACCAAATTAAACATCTTAAATGGTATATAAATAAGTAGGTGCTGTATATATATATATCAGCTGATATATATATATTTTTTTATTTAATATATATATTTAAGCACCAACTGTTGTGATTTTGTACCTCTCTCCTTAAATATATATATTTGTACCTTAAATATATATATGTAAGCACCAACTGTTGTGATTTTGTACCTCTCTCCCAGATCCTGAAGAAGCTGAAGAGCCTGGCCCTGGACACAGAGACAGAGCTGGAGCGACAGGATGAGGCTCTGGATGTCATCGCCTCGTCGGTGGACCGGGCAGCCCTAACTATCGACAAGCACAACCGGCGGATGAAAAAACTGACATAGAAGGACATGCAGACAGGACTGTTGATGAAGACTGTTTGAGCATGTTGTTCTCAACCCCTGCATGTTTCCCTTGAGATGAAGACCCTGGGAAGTAATATTTATAAGCACTGTCCAAGAACATGTCCCACTCTGTGGGATCAAGGGGTCATTGATCTCATCTCTGCCCTGAAGAATTGTGGGGGCTGGTGGTGCTGGGGTGACCATGACTTCCACTAAAGGAGTTTCTGGGCAGTGCACTAGAGGCTCAGCTCAGAAGGCGGAGGCTTTGTCTTTGCACCCAGGGAAGATGGACAGGGCAGTGCTGACCTTGCCAACGGGCCACCTGCCCGAGTTAGGCTCCTGTTGCACTGCTGTCAGGGACAGGCCTGCACGCAGATCACCAGGCGCCCTGCGGAAGTGCCGTCCCCGGCTCACAAGCCCTTCCTGAGGGTCTGTGCGGCGGCTGCTGGTGCATGACTGCCCCAGGTTACTGACTCCAACACGGGCCACATCTTCCTTCTTCATCACTTTTGCTAACCATGAAAGGAGACCCCAGTCTTCCTGGAAGAAGCTGGCTGCTTATGCCTAACACTGCATGCATTCTCAGTGCTGCCAGGCCTGCCGTGCGCCAGCCAGCCAACCGTCTTTTGGTCAGGGCCTCTGCACTCTGCCGCATGCCTGCCACTCAGCACAGGCCCCATGCACGAGGTGGAACCTTCCCTGAGGCTCGAGCTTTGTCCCCCCCCACCCCCTCTGGTGGGCGGACCGCTCTTCTCTGTAGGGAAATGTTCAAGGTGAAGCTCAGCATCTAGTCCACTTTTAGGTCATCCTGTAATACAGCACCTGAAATATTCTTCCACTGCCCCATTTTTAGCCACTAATGAAAATAGGAGATGGGCCTTAAAGAAACAAAAACAAATAAAATGACTTTAGCTTCCACTGCCCCATTTCTATCTAGAAACAGAAGAGAAATGCTAGTTTGTGAATATATTTTTTTAACTACTTGTGCGCCCCCTCTCTGGTGGACGTGTGTCAGTGGGTGAAATGTGGAGGCTGGAAGTGGGGCCGTGCGTGGTTGGAGGGCAGACGTGGAAGTGGTGTGGAAGCGCATGTCTGGCCTTTGCCATCATTACCACAGCATGCCACTTGGTCAGCTTTTCAAACTTGTTCTTGTCAGATTGCTTGGTAATAGTGGTAACTCCCATGAAGAATTGCCCATGGGGAGGCACAGCGAGACCTTGTTGGGATGTTAACTGAAGTTCCTTTTCTCCGGTTTGAGTGGCTGGTGGGTTAGGCCGCACTTGCCTCACAGGCCCTGGGGCTTCGTGGCTGTGCTCCTCTGTTTGCCTGGTAACTTTGCACTTTGAGAGAAAGCCCAGAGGTGGCTGTGTGAGAGGGCCATCCGAGCAAGTACGGGGATAGCGAGTGTGGCATCGCCCCATGGAGAGGCGGGAGCTGTTGAGAGAGGGTCGAGGCCCAGGGAAGGCAGAGAAGTCCCAGGATCAGAGCAGCAGCCTGTGCACTGAGTGGAAGGGATGAGAGAGCAGGTCTTCTAGAGCAGGGACTTTGAACTCGCCGGGAGGGAGTGGGCCCTGGAGGCCCCAGATTCTGCAGCACAGATGTGGGGAAAGGGGTCCTGTCCAGGGGACGCGCGGGAACGGAGAGCTGTGGATGCTGGCGATGGAGCTGGTTCTCACATGAGTGACGCGCACACTGCCTGTGCAGAGCTGTCGTGACTGGTCAAAGGAGCACCGAGAGCCTGCAGGCTGGGACCAGGAAGGACCGCACGCTCCGGTAGGCAATGATCCTGACAAGATGTCATTCCTGTTCTGGTGGCAGTAGGGCAACCAGCCAGAGAGCAGACAGGTGGGTGGATGCCTCAAGGCACTGCTACGATGCCATCAGCGTGCTGTATGGCCTGGGCCCAGCATCTCCTGCCGTGCCGTTCATGCATGACCCAGACATTTGTATTGACCCCATTGATGGGCTTTATTGCCTCACCAAGCACCACCGGTCCTTTCCCCCAGTGTGGTTGGACATGGACGCCCTCAGCTTTATTGTCCCGCTTGCATCGTGCTGTTTTACACAGTATAGAAGGATAGCAAAACGTAGAGCCCATGTCCAGTGCGACTGTGATAACACACCACCCTGATCAAACGGCTTTGACTGTTCATCAGAAGCAGCAGGTCCTTTTGTTTGCTTGGGCAGGGGCGGCAGGCTTTATAAATGACCACACTAACTGCTTCAGGCCCACCTCTGCGCTGCTAGCAGGAAATCGGCCACAACCAATGGGCCAGCAAGTGAGTGGGCCTGTGTGCCAGCAGCTCGTAAACATGAGAACTGCCTGCAAGCCCACGTGTCCTCGGATAGTCTTTTTCTTTTGATGCTTGTTTTAAAAGGGAGAAACCACACTTAGCATGCAGGTGGTTTGCTGCATCCAGAGCCTTCTGACCCTGGGTGGAGGTGGGGGGGGGGGGTACTCGAGACCGAGGCTCTGGTGGCGAGCAGTCCGGCACTGTGCACGGCCCTGCAGCCTGTAGCCGATGTGCTTGCCCGCCTACAGAGCTCTTGCCCTGTTCACTGCTCCAGTCCCCAGATTCCACCTCTAGCCCACTTGCCCCTGGGGCTGGTGCAGCTGTCGGAATCCAGCTGTGAGGCACGTGGCTGGGGAAACCACGCATGTCTGCAGTTATTCACAACTGCTCTTGTTGCCCAGTACCTTGACTGTTGTATGTTCACCAGCAGACCAGCCTGTACCTTTCTTCGAATTCCAGAAAAGAGATAGCTAGGCCAGGGGAGGAAAAGTGGAGGAGGAGAGGGCTGGCTTCTGTAGGGGATTTTATCTTTGACTCCCCAAACCATCAGCAACACCCCCAAGAAGGAGAAAAGTTTTGCAGAGAGAAACACCTACCGGTTCCTGGAGACATTTTCACATACTACAAAGCGTCTGTCTGTGGTCCATCAACCTGAGCGTTCGCTGAAATCTCCTCTCTCCAAGGTGGCTTCGTTTGAGGTGGGGCAGCAGATGCACTTCAGAGTATGCCACGGCCCTCAGCTGCGACCTGACCCCAGCCTTGTCCTCAACTTCTGCCACTTCAATGGTGAGTTACAAATTTGAAGCAATTTAAGAGAAACTCCAGTTGTAGTTAGTCTCAACATTTGCAACTGATTTTCACATTCACATATTTCGAGCTTCTTGGCATCCATTTGGAAACTTGGAACAGCAGTGATTTGTTGAAGAGGTAATTTTGCCTGATTCATTTTGAAAGTGCAAAGCCACAGGGCGAGTCCTCTGGCTTGCCTGCAGCCAAGGGTGGTCCTTTGTGATACTCTGGTGGTCTTGGAGTCCCAAAAGGGCATTTCTGCCTCACCCACCAGCTGCTTTGGGGAGAGGGATGACGATATGGGGGCAAAGGCAAACGCTGACCACTCTTAGGAGGCTCTTCGCCAGCCTGGAAGAGCCATGTTGGAGAACTGTCGCGGGAAGGACCCTGGGGATGTGTGATTAGTCCCTGAGCTCTGCTGCTGAGGGGACCCTGAGCAGGTGTACAGTTCAACCACACCGCCACCGAAGGCCAGCCTAGCTCTGCCGGGCGGGCAGGCAGCTCCCGAGGCAGCCTTGAGTGTGAGCAAGCGTGTTGGGACGCTGTGGCAGGCCTGCCTTCATGAGGTGCGACTGCAGTGTTCCCAGAGCCTTCTGGGGCTTTTGTATAAGACAGCAAGCCTGTCCTGACGGCATACCAGCCAAGATCTGACCCCAGGCCTAGCACAGGAGTTGCTGTCAGGTTAGTTCTTTGGGATGGATTTTTTTTTTTAAACTCTTGATCTTCCTGTCCCCAGGCCTGCCCCATTCTTTTCCTCTATGGAGGGCATATAAGCTGAAGGAAGGTAACTCACTTCTCCCCAACCGCTCCATACTGCAGGGGCTTGTCCTGAGCAGGGCTTTCTCTGGGAACCCCTTAGGCACACAGAAGTCCTCCTGTGCATACGACAGATGAACCTCTGGCTCAGGGTCCCAAGGACCTCCCCCTGGTAGATGGCCAAGTCCCTCACAGGTGGGCCAGGAGTGTCCTGGAAACCAGAAGCATACACCTTCCTTGGCAGTGCTTGGACCCAAAGAAGGAATCAGGCAGCCTTGGGCCGGAGGCAGCTCTGCAGTCCCCCCAGGCCAGGGAGTCTGGGAGCAGCCACCCAGCTCCTGCCAGCCAGGGCGGCCACACCAGCATGTCTGGAGAGCCAGGCGGATGGCAGAAAGTGGACCCGGTGCCAGAAGCCTTGACCAGAGCACCTGGTGAGCCAACTTTGCTTGGCCCAAGTTTTGAGGAGTTAAGATAATGGGTCTGTTTAATGGAATGTATAAACTACAACGCACCCGTGTGAGCCCCATTGTACCCATGCCTTCCATGCAAGTGGCACTCCCCTGCCTGTCCCAGACTCAGCTCTTGGTGGCACTAGTACTGATCCACCAACCCCCTTGTCCTCACCAGGAGGAGCTAGTGTCCAGAGGGGTGAGTGCCACCTTCAGTAAGGCTGCGCCTCGTTGGAATGCACTGCAGCAGGTGCTCTAAAAAGGGTGTAGGGAGACAGTGTGCTAACCCAGGGACCTTACTACCTCGGGAGATAAGGAGTGACAATAAGAAAACTGCTGGAGCAGTTTACTGGCTCAGTGGTTCCCAATTTATGTGAGAGCAGAGGGCATAAAATTCCCTGAAAGTAGTTGTTTGAAGCTTGGGACGCCTTGTCCAATAGAGTTGATATTCTGAAGGAGAGGGGGTTTGTTCACGTAGCCACAACTCTAACACCTATCGAGCAAATGCCGCCACACTGAAGAGTTGAGATGCAAAAATCCGGAGTGCAATGATGACGTAGGTCAAAGGCCAACATGGAGAGCAAGGTCAGATGTACGGAGATCTGAGGGGACAGGCCACACAGGGGCAGGGGGTGGGGGGTGGGGGGACTGATTGGTGAGATGGGGATCCTGAGAAAGTACACCTGGATGAGAGTTCCGGGTGCTGTTCCTAGCTGCGCTCTGCTTATTTCACAACTGATGGAAGATGCTTCCTCTTTTTATCAAGATAATGAGCCTCTGTGCCTACGTCCTCTGGGTACTCTTGTGCGGGAGCCTTGGGTGTGGCCTGCGCCAAGATGAGCATGCGCCAAAGGGGAGGGGAGAGCCCGTGGGGGGAATGGCTGCCGGGAGTCATAGAGCAAGATGAGTCCTGGTTCACATCGGTTGTAGAATTCAGATATTCCACGGTGCCACGTGCAAATCCCAAGACCTAACCAGTCCTGTCTCCTTCCAATCTCCTAGAAAAAGTTTTCCTCAAACTCAGAAGTATAAAATAGACAGACTTACTGTTCCAGTAGAATGCCCGAGACTGGCCCTTAGTCACCCTTCAGGTTCAGAGTGGAACTTACCCGCGTGGCTCCGTCTTTAAGCCAACAGTAGGTCTATGAGGGGAACAGTGACGCTAGTGAGGTTCACACGTCTGAAAATAATCCACTGTTTGAAATCAAAAGGACAGGCTTTGCCCAAGGACAGAGTTCAGAAGGGTTGGGGGGGTGGGGTGGGGGAGAAGGAGGCATGGAAACAGGAAGCACAGGGAGGAAGTGGGATGAGTGATGTTACATTGAGGGGACGGCAGTGAATGAGATGAAGCAAAATGTGCATGAACTGCTGCATGGACAACTGATGATCTGCTCTGGGAACTTCACCCAGTTCCCACACACGCAATTAAAAAAAAAAGATTTTTGTTTCCCTTCATAGGCATTCCTAAACCCCAAACTCACTGCCATTTCCAACTCCTACAGGACAGGGTACAACTGCCCCTGTGGGTTCCCAAGGCTAAATCTTTACAGCAGTAGAAAGCCTCATGCTTCTCCCAAGGAGTGGCTGACCTTGAGATTAGCAGACCAACTAAACCCAAAGCCCACTCCTC